TGTCCCTGAGTCTGGCGGGGGCTGCGGACTGCTGGTGCAGGTGCACCAGCCTGCTGATATGGACAGCAGCAAAGCCACAAGCTGACAAGCAGCAGCCCAAGGTACCTGTGCAGAGGAGTAAGTGTGAATTCTGCAGCCCCAGCTCACACCTGGGGAGCCATAAACCTGTGGGAGAGTTCAGAGGATCAGGTTCACGTCCCCAGCCTCTGCTGAGACGGCGATGAGGTTGTGAGCTCTGACCTGGGTGTTTGGCTGATGCCCAGCTGGGGTGGAAAAGCCTCAGTCCCCATAACACTGCAGTCTGGCTGAGGCCAAGACCGGTCTGTGGCTGTTCTCCTGTGCTGGGTCCTCTGCCTTGCTGATGTTTTTCTGTGGGAGAAGGGAGGAAGCCGAAGGGGCTCGGGGACCTTAGGGGAAGCTGAGGCCTGTTGCAGCCCGGAGAAGGGGCTCCTGCTTGTTCCCTGCGGGTGGCTGCTGGGTGATCCTTGGGCTTCCCGTGCGTGGCAGGTTCTTCATGTCTGGCAGCTGTCCTGGGCAGAGCTTAGCAGCCCCTAATCTTTCCTCGTGGCTCCAGTGTGAGGCTCCCCGTGTCCAATGAGAGGCCCAGGCTCTCCACCTGTACTGCTGTGGGCACTTGTGCATCTCAATCACCCTGGGCACTGTGTCTCCACATACTGTGTCCGCTCCATCCCATGGAGCTGAGAGTGGTGGATGTGTGATGTGGCCGACCCAGCTTCACTAACGAGGGTGGGAGAGGAGAAGGGAAACGCTCCCCAGATCCGTGCCAGGACCACTGCTCTCCGCGCAGCCCTCCCCTCCTCCTGGCTGGGTGGGAGGAAAGGGTATTTGTTTCTTTGCTTCAGCAGCAACGTCGGGTCTTGTAGCAGCTGACTCGGGACTGCAAGGTAAGTGCACAGGACAGGAGGAGCGTGCCTGTGTGTGGCCCGCTTTATTTATGCCCTCTGCCATGTGAGGGAGAAAAGCGTGTGGCGGGGAAGGCTCTTAGTCTCTGATCAGAAAAGATGGTCTGTTCTTTTCTAGCTCGCTGTTGCGGGCCAGACTTGTCATCTTTCTCACACTGCTGCCCGGTTTCTCCACTTCATCTCCTTTCTGGCAGATGTCAGTGGTGTAATAATGCTTTGGGAATGCTTTTGGGAAAGCATAAGAAATAAAGCAAATACAGAGTGAGTCTTTGGCTGGTCACAGCCTTCCTGCTGCCAAAGCAAAGGTCTGCAATGAACCCTGTTTCTAGGACAAGGAGATGATCTTGTTGGATTCTGACGGAATTAGGATTTCTTCTGTCTGCCTTCTTTCCCTTCCCTTTGCTCCACTTCTTCCGTCTCCTTCCAATTTCCGCATGGTGTGCAATGAAACAACAGGGCGCAAGCGCAGCCGGGCATGTCACTGGTTGTGTGCTGTAGCTGAGTGCAGTCTGTGTGGGGAAGCAGGATCCTGGCAGCCACAGGAGCAGCCAGTCCCAACTGAGGCTTTGCTGAGGTGCTTGGGGATGCGTGGCTTATGCTTGGTTGTTCACTCTGCATGTTTTCTTACACTGCAAAAATGGTCCTGGACTAGCAGCTCTGCTCGCTTCTGCCATGTCCCGGTGCAGGCAGCCAGACTGGGTGGCACATGGGGTGTCCTGTGTGTGTCATATTTCCTCATGTGAGGACAGCCTGTGTGCCTCCTAGTTCTCCTTTGCAAGAAGCAATGTCCTAGCTTAGCTGGGCCGTGTCACTGAGTACAGGTCTAGCAGCTACAGCTGGGATGCAGCAGAAGCAGGAGTCTCTGTAGGACAGGTGGCAGTTTGTACTGGGAGGCTTGGGAGCTGTTCAGAGCCCAACTAGCCCCTTTGCTGGGGTTCACTGTTTCTATTACCCTTCAAAAGATATGTACTTTTAAAGCTGCTTCCTCCTCCCTTTTGGGAGGCCTATTGTGCAGGCCTGACAACTATTTTGCCAGGATGTCCAGTCTCTTCCCACGCCAGCATCAGGAAAAGCACCCGGGTCCCCTATGACTGTCAAAGTCAGTTGGACACAAGTGCGGTCAGAGCAACGGCAGGGCTATCGCTCTGCTCCACGCTGTGGTGACCAGGTGGAGGGCAGCTTGACAGGGACCCCCAAACAGTCCAAATCCTCTGATTTGCTTCCCCGTATATTCCCCTTAACCCCTTCCCAAGTTTCCCCTTTACTAGCCTCCCTTCCTCCCCAATAAACCACTTGCCCCTGTTTGCCCTTTCCCATGGGCAAGGTGTTCCTTTGACTTTGTTCCCTGATTTGGTATTTCGGATATGATTGCCATGGTAATTTCCACCTGGATCATCAGTTCTGTCAAGCTAATTCCCCCCTCACCTTCTCTGCCTGATCCTGCCATTTTTCACTTTGTCTCGCCTTTGCATGCCCCAGGCTGCACCATTTGCATGTACATTACTGCCCTTTGTTACCTGCAACATCCCGCAGTTCTTCCATGCTGTTATCTTGTTAGAGGCAGGCAGGGATTAGCCATCTGCATGCTCACCCTAACAAATTCCTCTCCCGTGCCTGCTGGGGTGCCTGCCCTGTCCTCAAGGTACCTGCTCTTGGCATCTTACCCTGAGCGGCTGGCTGGGGTGCAGCCTCCTACCAGGCACCGAGTGCTGCAGCGGCATGGGAAGAGCAGGTCCTTGCAGCAGAAAACAGCAGCAAGGGCGGAGCAGGGCAGTGGGAGCGCTGGGCCCAGGCTTAGTGCGCACCCAGGCAGTCTGTGTGATGAGGCAGTAGTTTGAGGCACTGCTCTCGTGGAAGCACAGAGGAAACAGCCAGCATTCTTTGTCCGTAATGGTGGATGTGGGATTCTTTCCTGGCCTCAACATCGGGAAAACTCCTGCTGCCCTAGTGCTAGAGTGACGTCGGAGTCCCTGGAGCTTCGCAGCATGCTATTCAGGTTGAAGGTCCAGATGAGTCTATGTCAGTGGCCAACCGGGGGTCTCATCACCTTTTCTTCTGCTGGCTGCTTTGCAACCTCAGTGCATGTCCCATAAGCAGGTAAAAAGGGGAAAGCCAGAAGGGCCCATTACTGAGCTGGGATCCTGGGGCACAGCAGGGATAGCTCCGCTGTCTTGCAGCAGCAGCCCCTGCAAGAGGGTGCTGCCTGCATACTGACCTTGGTCAACTATAGCTATTTCTCAGGAAGTCCAGGTCAATTAGGATTGCTGCACACCATGCACGCTATAAACTACAGGCCATGAGTTAACAATTACACAAGCAAACTTTATTTTGAATCAGACTATCAGAACAAAGTCAGTGGAATACAACCCCCGGCTGATGCTCAGCATCCAGAAAGCCCAACTGAGTGTGCCCCACCTGCGTTCAGTCGAGCCATCCTCAACTCCTGCTCTGGCAGAGGCAGCTGTCCTATGCCTGCACTGAAAAACTGGGACTGGCCTCTGTGCAAGCACTGGGCAGCAACTCTCTGGAAAACTTCAGGCCATCTCCCTGTCTTCTCAGCCCTGGCAAAAAGTACGTGCCATGCTGGTTTGCTGAACAGCCCCACAGGCACAGATGGGCCAGAAGGAGCGAGTCCAAGCAGCAGTTGGCTGGGAGAAGAGAGCTGCACTGGGGCTCCAGCTGCAGCTGGTTGTCACTGTGCAGGAGCCAGCCAGGGCATTGCTGCTGGCTTGGGCACTTTCTACAAACCCCTTGGAGAGCTGGGGAGAGGGAGACTTGAACAGTGAGATCAAATACGGAAGCAGGCAAATCAGTGTCATTGCGGGTAGTGCTGCTCTCAAGAGGGAAGTGTTTAGGACTTTAAGATTAAATTCAAAAGCCCCATTTCATGCTTATTCAAACGCCTTGCTGAATCTGCTCCTGCAGGACGAGGACTTTATATATCTGCCTGACTTCATGGCCCTGCCTGCAGCTTTTCTGTACTCACTGATAACAATCTGTGGTTTGTGGGCTGTACTTGCCTGATCTCAGAAAGTATAATTTGATGCATGCAGGTGATGTGTGCTGATGAGAAGGGGAGTGTTGCTGGGGATAGCTGAATCTGTGAACAGAGGGCCCCAAGGTTAGCAGGCTTCCTGCAAACTGACTTGATGACTAACAAAAACATAAAACAACAAGGAGGAACAAACAATGGGAAGTGCCTGTCTGACCAAGGCTGAGCTTAGCGTCTTGCCTGACTGCTTCCGGCCCAGTGCATAAGACTTGGCAGCTTAGCAGAAGCCAAGTCATGACTGCACACAAACAGGCTCAAGCAGTGCCCAGGGCTATCCTCATTGCAGGACGTGCAGGATCTCATCATCCTCTTCAGGGAGGAGGGAGTGCTCGCAGGAATCTCTCCTCACTGCTGCTGGTCTGAACACTTGGACAGGAGAGGGAGCCATCAGAAGAGGAGCTACTGTGGCTTTGGCTCTGCTCTGATGCTGCAATGCAGGGACAAAATACGAATGTGCCTCGTGGAAGAAGGAGCTGGCTTGTCAAACAGCTCACAGCACTCTGGCTCCTTGTGCCTGCACGTGCTGACTGTTCAACATCCCCTTCCTCAATCACATGAACTTATGCTACATCACTCCCTCTTTGCTCTTCCAACTGCAAGTGAATGTTGCTCCTGCCATACGTTGCCTTCCCTGTACCTTTGGGGTACCGGGAAGCTGTCCTCAGCCCTTTGGAAGGAAGCAAACTAGAAAGGCAGAACAAGGCCTACCTGGTCCAGTCGAAGGTGAGAGACATACCTGCTTGGGCTGATGCCGCTCTGGTCGCTGGTCCCTGGGATGGGCTTGCTGCCTGTTCAGGGGTCTGTGCAACACACTCTTGAGGTACTTGTAGAGGTTGTTCTTCAGGTGCAGGGGGTTATAAGTGACTTCCACTTCCAGGCCGTTCAGGGCACTCTGCTCAGACAGAAGAAAGAGGCAGGCCCCACTGGACGTGTGATGTGACAGGTGGAGGCTGGAGGATCTGTGTTGGGGGTGGTGTTGAGTTTTTGATTTTTTTTTTTTTTCTTCCCCAGGGATGAGTGCTGCAGACACTCTTTGCCATCTTGCAGTGATGGGAGAAAGAACTTTTGGCTGTGCTGCTACCCACAAGGATTGTTCTTAGCTGTGTATGGTGCAATAGGAGACTGCACCCAGGTCTGGATGATTTTATGCATTCCCTTGCAGGATACAGTACTATCCTCTCCTATGCCCAGAACAGGCCAACAAGCTGGAGAGCCCTGCCTGGACACTGTCACCTTCAACCCTCTGCTTTATAAGACTCTTCCTCCCAATGGGTCTGCCTCCCTCCACTTGCTCTGTCAACTCCAGCAACACTTATGCACCTTCACCTCGAAGCCAATGCCTCTTTTCTGTTCTTGTAATCCCCTCCACGAGCCTTGGCCTTGCTCCTGCCCACATGCCTCGTGTGCTGCTGTCTTCTGCCCTGACTGGTGCTTTTCGCTGTCAGACTCCCTGCAGAGTAGCTCCAGCACTAGACCTGCACTCACCACTGTGTATTCCTAGTGGCGCTTTGATGGGGGAAAGACGGGCAGCTCTGATCTCAAGAGCATGTGGCCTTTGCTTTTCTACTACTCAGGCAGACTCCAAGTCTTTCTGCTCTACTTTGTGGGGCTGTGACAGAAGCCTTGTAGGGTGGGCTTTTCTAAGGCTAGTCGGTGCATGTACTGCAAGGCTGTCACACCAGCACCTATTTCCCCCCCAGGCCTGTTTCTTCTGCCACCATCTGCCTGCTTCGTCTGCATCCCACTGCCCTCCCAGCCTCAGAAGCTGGGGGAAGTTGCCATCTCACACAGCAACATTGCTTCCGTGGGCAAGCGTGTGCTGTCTACGAGGAAAACTGTAGGATATATACATATTAGCTTTGGAGCACTCCACCATATTCCAGCTGGCACTAGCCATTTTCACAGCTGTTTCCTCCTCTCTTCATTTGCTAAGGCCTGTAGTCAGGGCTCTGTTCTTTCTGGCAGCACCTGAAGCAGAGCTAGAAAATTCAAGAAAAACACGTATGGCTGCACAACAGGAAATGCAGAACCTCTGGGATGCAGAGGAAGCAGGCAGATGGTGGCAGAAGAAACAGGGACACCTTGTGTTGATTTAGCTTATGCCTGAAGCACCCGTTTCTGCAGTCTGAGGAGGTTCCTGTTCCCCAGCAGGAAGACAGATACACCCCCAGCAGCAACAGCATGTCCTGCGCACAAAGCCTGTTTATTACCCAATCCCCGCTTGCGTACATGGGAGCCTTTCTGTGTATTCTTGTGCAGGGTCACCAATGACTTGCCTCTATAGGGCCACGCACTCTCTCAGGATGCTCAGCAAGGAGGGCTGGGAAGGTTGACGGCAGCAGGAGCTCTCTGACGGCGACTGCTTTGACAAGTAGCGTGGCAGAGTCAGAAGGGACAATGATGTAGTAGGAATGCACCACGATGTTCCAGCTTGGACTAGTGTTTTGTGTCTCACATTTGGCCAAAAGCATCCAGTTTCTTTTCTAAATATCAAAAGCCAAAACCAATATGATCAGTGGGTGCCAGTCGCTTCCTTCAGCACTTTTATTGTAGGGGCTGCTGGGCTCAGGGGCAGAGAGATGTTCATATATATCAAAATATGAACACTATTTTGCATTATCTAGAGGATACTCTGGGTTTGTTAATTGAATGTAAGACGATTCTTAAGAAAAACATCCAATTTTGATTGAAGACTTGCCAGTAACGCAAAGTCCTTCACATCCTTAGCCTTGGTTAATTATTTTCACAATAAAAATGTGTGTCTTAACAACAAGGCTGAATTTTATACCTCATAACTCTAAGCATTGGATTTCCGATAGACTGGGGAGTTGTCTCTTAGCTTTTATATACCCAGCTTTCCATGGGCTGGAAGGACTCACAGGCCCAACTCGAACCCGCGCAGTGAAGCTGCAGGTTTTGAAACGTTTCTGGCGCAAGCTAGATAGACCTTACTAGATATATAATGACTTTTCCTTTCCATGGCCATCCCTCCCCATCAGACTGCAATTTGTACACACTCACCAGCAGACTGTGGCACAGAGCGTGGAAGCTATGCTGGTTTATCTCCAGTTCATCCCAGTCTAGCTGCCAGCAGCTTGTGGGCTTAATGATGAAGGGGAGTCCATACAGTACTGACTCACAGACCCCTTCAGACTTCAGAGCTCTGAAAACGTACAGCTTGCGTTAGCGACGCCTAGCCAGCATGAAGACTTCGCCAGGGGAAGGCAAGCTCAAGTGCTCACGGCAGTATCAGCCGCAATGCTGCTACAAGCGTTTACTGTCTGCATTGCTGTGGCCTGTTAATACAAACTCTCAGAGAAGTACATTCGCAGTGAAAAGGCTTGGCATGGCTTTCTTGCTGATCAGCTCTGAATTTAGCGCTCCTCAGCATGCTCCTGGATTCCCTTGTATCTGTGTTGTCAGTACTGACAGGAGCATGCCCAGGAGCATGCTGCATCTTCATGTATTTTACATACAAATGTACATATGTACATTTTACATAACCGGGCCTCTTGGGCAACAACACACCCAGGCAGTTATATTCCTTCCTAAGTGATTTTACTGTATTGTGACTATCCGTCACTTAAACTGTGACATATTGTGCTCTGCTCCTGCACACAGCCAGCATCCCATCAGAAACACCACTGCACTCTCTGCAGTGCTTGGTGTGGCCGGTCCATAGCCGGCCTAGTTCTGCTTCGTGACAAGGCTGACAGATGACGAAGCAGCTGCACTGCTTTGGTTATGGGCAGTTTACAGACAATTACTGAGTGCTCCTCAGCTACTAACAGGCTGAGAATCAATGTAAGAACCACTGTATAGATGGGTGCTCAGTAATTACATAAAATTTTGACTATAAACAAACCTCAGAAAAGACACTAGAGAACATCACTTTTCTTGTCATTCTGCGTGCCTACCAGCACACACTGCTGATGGGAAAGAAAATGAATGCTTACCTGAAGTCACCTAGCACTATGAGGCTTTACTTGCTTTTTTACCTATTAGTCAGGTAACCAGCTCAGGCTCTTAAGACCAGTTAACCACTGTAGTCCAATTAGGTAGTGAGGGAACAGCAGTCTTATATATGGCATACTGGCTGTGACCTACAGGGCAGTGAGTTGGCTTCGCACTGCAGGGGGACGATTTTTTGCATGCATAACATCTGTTTTCACACCCATAAAAAGCTGGAGTCGTGGCAACAGCATTTTGACTCTGCGCTCCTTTCAGCATGCGTGGGTTGTGCTCCTGCGTAACACTAAGCGGTACAGGGCACCTCGTGCATTAGAATTTTGCTCACTAGGACCCCGGTTCTTTATGCTGACGTGATTGGTTCCTAGTTGAAATTGCCCAGAAAGACTGAAGGCTGCTATTACCTCAGCCTTCCAATCAGCAAACACAAAGCACATAACAACACTTACTTTATAACCCGGAGTTTATACAGCACTGTAGCTGGCCAAGCAGCCATCTGGCAGGGTGAGTTCATGTCCACTGTTCTCACGGTGCCGTCAGCTGTCCCAGAGAGTAGAGCCGGGTCGAGCAATCTCTCCTGCAGATCGCACTTCAGGCATACTAGGAGAGGGAAATCAGTTTAGATTGCTGGAAATGGCAATGCTTACCCCATGACATGCTCAAAGTACTTACAAACACTGAATTAATGTTTGCTAGCAACAGCAACTACAAAGGAAGAACAAAGGTAAAGCCTGTGACACAAGGCAAGAAGTTATCCCCATTTAATACACAAGAGCAACTACCACGTCTCTGACAGCCAAGCACCCTACATGCTGCTATGGATGATAAATTGATGTATCAGGGCCTCAGGAATGCTGCAAAGAACCCACAGCAAAGCTCAGATATGCACACTGGCCTCTCCCTTCCCTAGAACAACATCTCAAGTCCCACTGCCACTCTGTCCATGGCCACGTTGGTAACTGGCTGGCAAACGGCTGGTTGGTAACTGGGCAGGCAAACTGTTTTTGGAGCTGAGTGCCTGTCTGCCTGGTGGAAGACAGAGCAGAAGCAGATTTCTTAATCCCACACTGGGTTTAGGGCCACATTTTTTCCTGCCACCTCTCTGTATTTGCTGGGAAACACATCACTCTGCTCACACCCACTCTGGTATAATTTCATCTACGGCTGCAGACAATTTCTCTGGCTTTCTACAAGCTTTTTGATTGTGACGGGCTGGAACAAAAACTGGATTGTAGACTAACTTGCATTGTCTTGTTAGCTATCTTAAGACAGTGTGTAAACTATGAAATTCAATATTATGATGGAGGAAAATCCACCTTTAACAAACTATCGTAAAAATTGTCTCTGCCAGTCTGGAGGCTTTTATGCTAGCCGCTATGTAAATAAAAGTCACATCAAGCTTTCTGATCTGCCTGATGCAAGAGCAAACCTGCAAGAGAGACCACCAACTGCTCTATGAGCCTTGTTTCCAAACGGGAACCGGCCTGTGGACCACCAGCAGAAAGCAGGTGTGCTTCTGCTGCCATGGCAAGGGGAAGTGGTGGGTTTGAAAACAGTACCATATTTCAGAGGCACGGAAAGGGGATTGCCAGGACCTCAGGTACAGATTCCTATGGCAATGCAATACAGTGACGATACAGCCAACAACTACTTACAGGAAGCACCTACCTCTGCCATATTCATTGTTTTTTTCAGTGCTCACCCAAAGATGTGTAAGGGATTGGGCCTTAGAGTCTTAATGGAAACAAATAATGCATAATCCTTATAAATTTTCCTATATGTTCTTATAACATAACTCTTGGCAGCTCCAGATATAACATTAGCTATTTCAGTGCTAAATCAATAGAGAAAAATTTAAGCCAAATCACTTTGTAAGACAGCATTTATTTAAGTGCAGTTCTGGCACAGAACTTTAGTATCAAACACAAGGAACATGATGTTTAGGGCTACACAACTGAACCGGAAGGTCCCTGGCTCTCAGGTATGTCAGGCTCCTTTTACTTTGACCAAGTGGTTATAAATTCACATCCTCTTCAGTGCCCATTTTTTGCTGGCAGACTGGAAATGGATTATCATGTCAGCATCCACAGGACATTGCACCAAACTAGAAGCTGTCTAAGCAGGAGACCCTTTTCAGTCTTAGACAACAGAAACTACAGACAGACTTCAAAGAAACCCAGAGGCCTTATTTTGTTCTATAAATGTGGGGGAACATGCCCAGGAAAGGACTGGGTAATCTTTAAGGCTGTGGGAGTCAGGAGCTCCTAGCAGAGAGGGAGAGAAAAATGAAATACTTAGACTGGTCTTGGCTGCAGTGGCATAGCTGAAGCCTCCTGATGGAAGGAGGAGATGGAGTTGTTCTCTGTCTGTACCATAATCATGAAGCCAGGTTTTAAACAGCATCTCCAAGCTGATGACGTTGTCCTCTACGGTCTGAACGTCAATGTCCATTCCCAGGATTGCAGTGTCTGTAAGGAAAGAGGATGACAACTGCAGAAGCATTTTCAGCCATAGAAAGGAACACTCATCTGCTTTTTCCATTATGCTGAACCCAGTTAGTTCCTCAAGCACCTCCTCACAGGAGGCACTTCAGAAGCCATCACCATGCAAATCACAACCCAGTACTTTGATGCCAGCTTCCTCAGAGCTGCCTCACAGGCCAAACCAACCTCCTCCTTAGCAGTGGGGCAGGTGCACTGGCTACTTCTGTCTGCAGAGAACTAGCGGTGCTTGAGGCAAACAAACCATCCTCTGCTGTGCTCATCACCGCGCTGGCCCTAAAGACTTTACTCAGCAATTTTAAAGCATTCTCCCCTGCTGCCCAAGCAAGGAAGGACCAGAAGCATGCTACTATGAGAAGGCAGAGAGACTGCAAAACCAAAATACTATACTAATGGGAAACTTTTTAAGTAGCAGTGGGAAACTACTACTCCTCACATAGATGGTAAACGCCACTTTGCAGCATGGCCCCACAACTAAATGGCTAAACACCCTCAATGCCTGCTTAAAGGAGACTCAAGTCACAGACCTGACAAGTAGAAGCAAAAGTTGACCTGGATCTGACCAACACACACTGTTGAAGAGCTGCTTGGTAACAGTAATGCCTGAGTACAACATCCTTGCAACAGCAGCAATTCCAAACAAGGGAAATGCATAAAATTAGGAAACTTGCTCAAAAGAGATTAAAAGGTGAAGCCAAAAATGTTTCGAAGGACATAGCAAGTATTTAAGCCACCATATTGGAGGTACAGGGCAAATGTATATGACCCAACAACAATATTTAGGAATGGACAAATGGAGGCCAGCCTGGCTGGACAGCCAGAGTTAGGGAGGACATAAACAAGATGAAAGCCTTCCAAAAAATAACCCAAACCCAAAACACCCCAAAATAATAACCCAAAGGTATGTCCAAATGAGAACCCATCATAAAGTCTAGCAAATAAAAATTTAAAAGATGTAATAGACAAAGGTGAAAAAAATAGAATTTGATGAACAATTTGCAAAAGGCATAAAACATGTACTATATCCCTTTGCAAACCCAGCAACAGCAAACAGCCTGCTAGCATTAATAGGGTCATGGTATAAATAAGATGTGAAACAAATATTCAGAGAAGATGAATCCATAGCAGAAACAGCACTTTTTTTCAAATGTGTTTACAGGCCAGTTGAGGACTAAATTACAGTGCTACATCCCTCTGCAATGAGAAAATTTTTCTTTCTGTGTTAGTACTTATAGGCTGTAAAAATGACACTATGCATCTTCCCCTACATTAAAAAAAAAAGTTAAATTCTTTAATCTCCCTTTATGTGGCAAATAACTAAGACTAAAATAATGACTGTAATTCTTCAAATGCTCTGCAACTTGCAGACATACTTTTTGCAGTATGGCCATCAGAGCAGGACATACTTTCCAGTTGTCTTCTCAGTGCTTTCCTCAAGGCTGGAAGGGGACCGTGCAGGTTGTGGCTCTGCCACAAAGCAGAATCAGTTCCTTCCTAGCTATCCCTAACAGGTCCTCATAGTGTCCTTACTGTTGAAAGCCTTTCCTTCTTAATGTCCAGTCTGAATATCTGTGGTTATAAGGACATTTAATTCCTTTTTGTTTTAGTTCTGCTCAAATCTGTATAGTTATCAGACTGCAAATCTTCTTTTTGGTAGCAGCCTTTTTTAATGCACCTTATGATGGTTTTCATGCCTCATCCCAGTCTTCTCTGATGCTTATGGGAAATGAGTTCCTCCCTCACGGATCAATGCTGGAGGACACCCTGGAGGAAAGGAATTCCCAGCCTTTCTCTGGCGACTGTGCTCATGAACAGAGCTATTGCTGCTGCCAGGCACTTGCTGTGATGCTATGGTCTTTGTTTTCGTCCCTTGCAGAACGCAGACCTGGAGAGCATGAACTCTGGAGTGATGAACTTTCCTGGGAAATATGCTCTAGAGGACCCTGCTTGAGCAGGGAGGTGGGACTAGATGATCTCCAGAGGTCCCTTCCAACCTCAACCATTCTGTGATTCTGTGAACTCCCTATGTTTGTTAGTCTTAGTCTTTCTCTGGGATATGCACTGAAGACGGCATTAGCTGTTCAGAAGACAAAGCACAAGGTAATGCCTATAATTTAGTCTGACAAACGGTGTGTACACAGGTGACAAGGGCAATGACAGCATTTTGGGGCTGGTAAATGACAATTTAGTTCTTTTTTAGTTAGTATTTTCCGATACTTCGATTTTCTCTTCTCTACTAGATATATAGGCACCTATGTATCTTAAATTGGTACAATACATGGCAATTGTAAAAAGAAATTGATTGCTGTCCATTCGTAGGAAGAAAGGATTGGGATGCGGACGCCTACTGTGCGATGGCGCTTGAAAGCCTTGAAGAGTAAGTGTGCAGAGCCCTCTGCAGGCACATATAGAGAAAGGTTTTCTGGGACTTGCGGAAGATGAATTATTTTATTCATCTTCTATTTTATTTTATTTCATTAAAATTTATCAGTGCTTTAGATTCAGTGCTTGAATCTTTTTTTCCCCCAAAACCATAGATGGATAGGTCCAGCATCTATCTGACACAAATATTAACACTCATTAGCAAATGTTTTGGCAAAGCCCAGATGTTTTAAATGTTCATAAAGAGGGCAAGAAAGACCTAATGATAATTCTGGTGTTCTTATCAATTAGAGGTCAGCCCACTGCAGCCTATCAATTACTCTCCCACACTATTCCCTCCACAAATACTGTATATATCAGTCTCTTTACATGACCTGTATTATATCATGAGCTTCACTCAGTCAGAAGTCTGTCAAGCCCTGACATTTTATGACTAAAAAAACACTACAGATTTAGTCTCTGTCCCACAGAATCTGCTTGGCAGTTGAAAAAGCAATCCTTCCTGCTTTCCACATGGTCTTTACTTGCCTAGAAATTCACTCTCCCAAGAATGTTGATCTTGTGAAGAAAACAGCAAACATTTTCCAGCCAGGACAGGATGTTCTTAGCATGTTCAAAGCTATTCTAAGACTAGCTAACTGCAGGGCCTCCCTCAAAACAGTGGAGTCTTTTCTAGCTGCATTAACCTGGAAATGAGCCTATGAAAGGGGATATTCTGATCCTGCCTTCCTTCTTTCAGTGCCATAGGAAATTGTTACTGTATGTTGCTCTTTTTTTTTCCTGCTACGGCAAAAGAGAGAGGAAATTTACTGTGTGAGAGCAAAAGCTCCACAATCAGGTGCTTATTCTGGATACAGATTTTTGCATCTCTGCATCTTCTAGGCTCTGGAAGAAGCAATTTGTGGTATAGTATTATGTTGTAATAAAATAACACAGATCGCATTCATTGATGACTATTATTATTTATTATATATCCAGCAGGAACCCTAGCAGTGGATTAGGATCTCACTGCATTAGGTGCAGTATAAGCAAGACAACAAGATGATTTCTGCCTTGAAGATCCTACAGTCCCACAGAAAATCCAGCAGAAGGAAGCAGGGTTATTCCATATATTCCATAAAGGATTTCATAAAGAAAATGCCAGTTCCTCACTGGCTTGCCCATAAGGGCATCATGAAACCAGGGTATCCAAGTCCACTTTATCTGGCAAAATAATACAGCGACATGTGTCACAAAGAGCCTGAGCCAAAGTCACAGCTGTCACCCCTGCAATGGTTGAACCTCCCCCTTTCTCCCCGTACCTTCCCCAATGCAATTATCTGTCTTGAACACAATACTCAGCAGCATAATCAAACTTGTAAGCATTTTTTCTTGCATACATGGAAACTTCCAGCCTAGATAAGATACGTAGTTTAAAGGGCTGTTTCTGTCTATCCAGCGTTCACCAAAGACGACTGCTGCACAGGGACGTGGAACAACTGCACAGTCGTGCTCCAAGCATTGTTTCTTCCTCATGTTCATCAATTAGAGTTTGTCTTGTGCCCTTAAGTTTTACTTCCAGAACTCCTGAGGTGGTTGGGGCAGGAAGGGCAGAGGAGCTAAATATTTAATCAAAATGATTATATCCCAGGATAGGTTTTCTACTCATATAAGTGGTCTGAAGATCTGCAGGATTTCTTTAAAGAAAGAAACAGATGCCATTGACACCCTATAGCAGAGGTTTGCAGGCTAAGTGAAATCAGCCTCTGCAATCTTTTTTTTCTTTTGCCAGGGTATTTTGAAACCAGATCAAGTCCCTGATAGTGATCGCCAAGTAGCCTTACAAGTGCTTTCTCTAGCAAAAGAGAAGCAGTTCTGAAGGAGGAATGGGACAGAGGGAAGGGATTTAGAACTGTTTCGTTCCATGACAGTGGCTTATACTGTGCATAAAATTACAATTGTAGTTGTTTCTGGAAAGTTTTGCAACTTCTTTCATTTTTTTTTATCCCCTAACTACAAAGCCATAATTGTTAACCAAGTCTCCGAGCTTCCAAAAATCCTTTTATCTAAAACAAACAAACAAACAAACTTGCAACTATTCCAATGATCTTCTAATTGATTTATAAATGTCATCTCCAGCTCCTTAATTCTTAATTTAACTGTATTCTTGTTGTATGACTTTTATATATACCTGTTATGTCCAGTTATCTCTGTTTTGTTATCAAAGTCTTCAAATAATGACTAAATGCCAGAAAGCATTGTTTTTGCCATATCACACAGTGATAGTACTTCTCAAGCAATATACAGTCACTTGCTAGACTTGCTGAAACAATTTTGTTAGCTGTTGCAAGCTTCTTTAGTGAAGTAGATTGTATAGTAAATGTTTTCAGTTCATCTAGGAGGTTGCTACATTGCTTCTTCCATTTTGAAAGTAAGTTTACATCAGGCTTTTCAAGATGGCATTTAAGAGAAATAGTCTGTGCTTTTAGAACATAATAAAGGCAAAGCTTTGCTTCCTGTTCAATCAGTCATGTTTGAGCATCAGCCAGTCTTGGCAATCTCACTTCCATCAGGTGAGACTTGCAATGAGTTTCTTCTTTTTTTCCCATTTTCCTCATACATTTAGACTGTGCCATTCTGAAGGTCACTAAATTAATATGGCTTCGTTTAAATACACATATGATGTTCATCCCTGCTGTAATGTTTTTGCAAACTGCGCTTAAAATTTCACTTTCGTGTCACCTTAAAAAGCGTAACCACACAACTGAAAGAAATGACTGGCTTGTTTTTGAGGTTTGGCAAGAATAAAACTTGGGCTGCTGTTGCATGTAAAAGACCTGCCCGACTGCCCTAATGTTATACAGGAGTACTCGTTACTTCCTTTCAAGGAGTCTGCAAGTAACAAAACTTGTGTCCTTTATAATGTGAAGCAAATAATTGTATAGTAAAAACCAAGAGTTGTAGCTCTTCACTGCTAGGGCTAGTCCAAATTTCTTTGGCTTCCAGACTTGGCACCAATGCTAATGGGTGGCTGTTGCTGATCTATAACAGGCTTCTCCAGCTTATCTCTTCACATTACAACTAAATGTCTTTCTAAAGGTTCTTGATCTTCCAAAAACTGTGGGCTCGACTGAGAAATCTGATAAAACTGTACCTCTGTGTTATGGCGGAAATGAAATTCGGTCATACTTTTGAAATCTGTAACTACTTAAAAGACAAAACCAAAAAGTCCTTTACTCCAGTTACACAGTGGCCAAGAGCGCCGTCCCCCAAGGGAAATACTACATGCAGCCTGTTAAAGGGAAAAGCTTAATGCAGCCAAATTAGCCAAGAAAGACAGGTGAAATACTGAATTGTCTCAAAACAAGCACTAATAAGAATACGTGTTTCAAAACTCCTTACTGCTATAGCTTAAATTCTCACTGCTGAAAACTGTCCGATTATGGGAGCAGTGCTTTAGATATACAGCTGGAAAATTAACATTTAGCATCTGGGATCAAGGCCTCTCTCAATCACCTTTGCAAGTCCATGGGTGATCGGGAGAGGTGTCTGAGGGCTGGAAGAAAGCAAATGTCACTCCAGTCTCCAAAAAGGGCAAGAAGAAGGAGCCAGGGAACTGAAGGAGCCAGGTCAAGGGAGATAATCCTCCCCCTCCACTCAGCTCTGGTGAGACCACACCTGGAGTACTGGCTCCAGCTCTGGGCACCCGAATATAAGAGACAGATGGAGCTACTGCAGGGAGTTCAGAGAAAGGCTACTAAGGTGATTAAGGGACTAGAGCATCTCTCACACTAGGAGAAGCCGAAAGAGCTGGGGGTGTTCAGCCTGGAGAAGAGAAGGCTCAAGGGGGAACCTTATCAAGTTTTATAAATATCTGTGCGAGGGTGTAAAAAGGACAGGGCTAGACTCTTCTCCGTGGTGCCCAGTGACAGGACAAGAGGCAACGGGCACAAACTGAAACACAGGAAATTCCACTTGAACAGAAGAAACCACTTTTTTACAACCGTTCTGTTCTGTGATTCTGAGTGTACACACTCATTCATTAATAAAGCACGCGGCCTGGTGTGCAGCAGGGAGCAAAAGGGAATCAAAAATATTCCCAACCCCTACTCTGCCAAGTGACCAGAAATTTGCCTTTGTATCCCAGAAAAAAGAAGAACAGCTAGAGGCAGGTAAGGACATATTACTCTATGTTCCTACTGACTCAGTAAAAACAATATTGCCATTGCTAGCAACAGGCTGTACACTAACTTTGCAAGGCATTAGGACTAGGGCTTACTAAGCTTGTTACCATCTTGTGAGAACTTGCTGTGTGAATTGGAGCTTGGTAGCAGCTGTCTCTTCTTGATGGGGAGATTAATTTTGAGATAACAGCAAAGACTTTCAGAATGGAGATCTGGATTGAAAAATAGAGATTGCAGGGCTATAAAGAATTCATTGATGGGCAGTTACTGGTTACTGAAGCAGTACAAGCTTATGAACTGAGAAAAAGTGTTTTAAGCATAGATAAAGAAGGAGTAGCTAAGCAAGAGGGGGGAAAAAAAAAAGCTAGCCAGCAGATAAGTACTTGACATGGCCTGGACAGGACAAGATCTTGAGTTGGGAGGTGGGATTTCATCTTTGTGGGATCACTGAAATTGTAAGTGGCCTGCCTGCTTTTCCCTGCCTACCTGCTTCAAGGATCCTGCATCTTCTCTCTAATCCCTCATTAAAGCTGTACTGCACATGAATTCAGTGTGGCTAGCTACTATTTTGGGTAATACCAAGGGATGCAGTAATGCAGCAAGTCCCTGGGCAACCTCAAATGCTGAGACTCCAGAAGAATCAAGTCTATGTGCTGACTCTTTCCAGAAGCGATAAAGCCCCAGAGCAGCGCTGTGGTACAAACCACTTGATATTCCTCCGGGCTCAGTAGTCCCCACTTACATGAGTGACACTAAAAGGCACCAAGAAAAGTGGCAGATATCAGACCACAGTGAGAGCTAGTGGTTTTCTTGCTGTCTGAAATCATAACTTCCCTGAGTCCCCTGTCCCTTTTGTACTCACCATCGCTGCTGAGCTCGTCTGCTGGCATGCTCTGTTCCGCATCTTCAGGCTCCAGAAAGTCTCTCTTCAAAACCTCAATGACTTGTAGTCTTCGCAGACTCACAAGATCTATATCTTTTAACTTCTCTTCCAGCTGCTTCACCATTTCTTTGCCTGACTGGCTAGTCAAAATTGTAATCTGAAATAGATATCACAAAGTGAGTGCAAGAGCTGCCTCTAACCCTAATTTGCTGTCGACAGGAGATGATGCCTGGCTAGTGTCTATCTGAATAGAGCAGGTACCACAGCGGAGAGAGGAGAGAAGGAGCTCTAAAATTAATCTCATCTATTCAGAGCAGATTTAAAGGCGTTCTTTAAGCTTTGGCTTTATTGAAGCAAACATAAAATGGATGCAGAGGCTCGGTGTAGGAATGCCAACCGCTTTTGTGCCACTGCTGGAAGAAGATGGAACAGGACCTGGTTCAGGGCACGACACAAAGAGCGCAGAGTGGCCTGTGAGTCATTATGCTGTGAAAAGATGTTGGGATTTAGACTAGAGAGCACTTAGCATCCTGCTTGACTTTGCACTGAGATTCAATGCCATTTGGGACTGTACTCGGCACAGGAAAGACTAGGACTGCTGCTTGAACAAGTGGCACAAATAACTAAGTGTATATAGCAACCATAATGATCTTGGAAGGAGCAGTGAGACCAATTGCACTGGCTCATTGTCAATAAATTTGGTGCTGATATAACCTGTTATATGTTATCAGAGCGGGTGTACTGCTAGTTCTTGTGATTCAAGCCTAAGTCTCTTGCCTCTGTCTTTTTTTTAATTTATTTTTAGTAGCTCCTACAATCCAGTGATTATAAGATTTTAATTCTTTGATTTTTGTCTTCTATTCTTCCTGGCTGAGAAGGACAACTAGAAAAGCTGAAGCTGCTCCAGCAGGAAGAAGAAGGAAGAAGAGAAATAAAAATCCAATTCACTCTGCATAAAGAAGTTCTTATAATGAAAACAAAACTTCAGTCACTGAGGTATGTGAGGTAGAAAGCTGCCATTTCTTAGAAACATTGTCCTTTGTCAGGTGAAATATCTTTCTCTGTTACAGTGATCAGCAGCTCTCATTTTCCAACAATGGTTTGAGAACTTTAGGCAATCTTCTGCTCCTTTCTTAGCACCTTAATGATTTAGTGGTCACCCTTATCAGAAAGACCAAGGCACCATTTATATCCCATTTAGGTCTCTGAAAGACTGTCAGTGCTTTTCACCAGACTGAATTTCACTTACAGGTTAAACTTATGCAGCATGCAGAACTGGAAAGATTGCTAGCTTGGGGAAAAGTCTTTTGTTCCTGAAATTCTGCACAGAGCTAATCTTTCAGCTGAAGCTTCCCTCAAGATGGGCAATGTGATATATTGCCATTTGGAAGTTCTCAACCCCCTATCCAGTGTTGTGCTAAAATCAAATGCACTATAACACTTCAAATCTCTACATACTTTGAATTATTTCTGTATTTTTATTCTGGCTATTTTTCAAATGAAATAGGAACATCACTGTAAATTGTATCCACTAGTGAAGCCACAAAAAAGCTATTCTTTTTTTTTTTTTCCATCGTCTACTGCTTCATAAGGCATTTATTCTTGAAAACATTTGGTGCCTGTGTCACAAACAGCTCAAAGAGAAGCAAGGCAACTCCAGGACCTCTGCAGAGCCAAAGCCAATGTAACAAACCCTGAGAACTCACTGTTATCCGGTATCAGGAAGAGGAACATTTGGTTACCTACCAGAACTATCAACAAACTGGTATGTGGTTAAACTAATCCCAGAGCGGAGGACACCCAGGAGCCCAGGCTAATCCAAGCATGCAAGAGCAAATACAAGTTAGTAAAGTGTCAGAAGAGGAAGAATTAGTGTTGCATCTATGTACAGTGTTCCTATAAGAAAATGAAGTGGGTAGTGGGGAAGTGAGAGAGAATGCTCTTAAAGCATTATCAGCTGCACCTTTTTCAAGGCCTTGTAAAGTGCAAGGAGTGGGGATAAAGCACTATTTCACTAGGATGGCCTGGGCTGCAGGAGGCACAGCTCTGTCCTGAATTCTCTGGGGCACGGGGAAAGCAACCGGGTTGCTCTGTCCTTTTTGTGTCTGCTGTAAAGGTGTCAGAGGGGTTATCCTTCTTCCGGATACCCTATGCAGGGATGCACGCCAAGAATAGACATTACACCCTTGAGTTTCAGGGGCTGGCTGTTGCACAGAGCTTACAATGGTCTTTTTAACCTTTCCAATTATTTCAGACAGCCATTGGCAACAATGAATTGCAAGGAGCTCCTTTTGGAATTTGCAGAGTGGGAGCCCTGTGGAACTCCCAAGGAAGATGCTAATTATAAACACACATTCTCTGTTATTCCAAATACTGACCATATATCCATTTTACTCTGAAAACTGACCTAAGGAGGATTATGCCAAGACAATGACCGTTCTGTAGGCTTTTTCTGTCCTTTGCTACTATACCAACCAGTCTCACAGTGAAATGCTTTTCCTTTGTCTTTATGACAATGTACTTTTAATGAATTGTGGGCATACTTTAAGGCACAATGAGGACCATTGCACAAATGTCCTATTGATATCAGTGAAAGTTCCATAGAGGGACTATAAGCACAGTATGTAACTGTAGGCTGAAAGAGAAATCATGTCCAGAAAGTACTGTGAATGTCTTTGCCTTCAACACACCTCTTCTGTGAAAGTGATCAAAATAAAGCTTAAAAACCATCCAGTCTTAAATATCTAGAAATTAAATTCATTTTTCTATACTGTAAGGTAAGTCACTCTCCATATGTAACTCAAACTTGAATGTGACATGTTCCCATGAGCATTCAGCAGACTGCCAAAAGGGCCTCTTTTAGGGGGCTGATTTTGTTAATTACTTCCTCCCTCCCATGGTACCTGGATACCACACAGACTACCATCTTTCATGTGCCAACAAGTGGCAAGTCTGGTGGATGGCTCTCACTATCTCCCCAATGTTTTCTCACCTCAACTGAACTATTTGTCGAGCCTCCTGCTGCTGTGTGTCTGCTGTATTGCTTGAACTGCTGCAATCCGTCCTGCACGGCTTGTACCACTCCATTTCCCTCCTGTGGGAAACAGCCTTCTCTTGGTAGTGAACGGAGCTCTGAAATGCAGGTTTGAACTCGTGCAAAGCTTTCTTTCACTTGCTGCAAAACAGTATTCAATGAAATTGAAAGACCTTGAAATGTCAAACTGATAATAAGAAGTATTTTTCCATAACGTGCAACAAGGCTTTGGAATTCATTGCCGTGAGATAAGACTGGGGCCAGGAGCCTTGTACTATTCATAAAGTAGTGAACAGTGATATGAATTAAAAAACAGCTGATTGTTTTAGCAGTAATGATACACGCGAGTATTCCTCAAGTTTCCAGCTGCCCACACATTGCCTGCTGCTAGCCAAAATGTAGATCTGCATGCCCAGGGACAGTCCAGTCCTCTGACCCTGTATTACACTGAGGCAAAACCTGATACATGAGCAGGACAGATATAAGAGTTAGAGTCCTTAGGCTGTATGGTATCCTCAGCCCATTCGCCCTCCCCCATCCATGCTCCATCACTCAGGGGGCTGTGGGCTTCCAGAACCTGCACACAACAGTATGTAGAGGCAGACCGTATCAACAGGTCCAAAAAGGGGTTACACTAATTCACGGGTAACAGGTCCATAAGCAGATATCAAGGGGAACAAACCAGGAATGTATCCTCTAACAGACCTAACACAATAGTTGTGGAACTGGGGGAGTAGGAGGAGAATGAACTGCAGAGAGCAACCGGGCTGGTGCACTCCCCAGAACAGCCTCTCCTTTGAAGATTGCGCTGATGGACTGACGGTCTGACTCACTGGGGCGTTTATGTTCTCATAAATAACTGCTTTTTTAAGACGCTCCCCACAGTAGTACTTCAAAGATGAAGTACTAGAGCAAGTGCTAGAAAGGAAAATTTATTCTATAGCTGTCACCTGTAAACATTTCTTAGTCTTTCTAGTTAAAAGCTATCGCTGTACAATGATTGACCCAAGGACAGCTGGTCTGACTTCAGATAGTTGAACATTATAAATGCACAGATTATTAACCCCATACTCGCTGTGAGTCAGTCTCAGGTACTGGTCACAGATAAAGGATTTTTGGCCATATTCCCACCGCCTACTCTGGTGATTTACATTACTTACAGTCCAGGGCCACTGAATCCTCATAGCCTGTATGTTGTTTAACAGTTTCTTGAACTTGGTATCACTTCATATTGGTCATCTAAATCCACAGAAGGCAGTCGGCATATGAACCAGGCTGAACAGGCCTCTCCCATCCTCTGTTTCTCCACGCAGTATTAGTTAAGGCTACACACTACAGATTACCCAACCATGACCTTCCCTGAGCATAGACAGAACAACGCTACAGCGCACCCAGGAAGATGACTGGAACGTCTGAGCTGGTGTTACAGAGGTGTCAGCTCGCATGAGTTTCAACAAGAACTGAGTCAAGACGTATCTTGCAAGTAAGCTGGCAAATTCTGGCCAAAGGAAAGATTATTGATGAACTCTAGCAAATCTGTTTGATGCAATATGAGATATTACTGCCAAAAATCACCTTTCCTCTCAGAAGAGGCAACAGATGAACACATGCCTCGTTTGCTTCAGAGGCTTAGAGCTCTGACTCATTAAACAGCTCCTGAGCAGTCACAGTTTACAGTATGGTGGTCCAGGTGACTGAGTTATGAACCAAGGCTACTCAGGTGCATGTTCACAAACAGCTCAGCTGTTTCTGCAAATAAGGTGGGACAGAAAGCTGGGACACCTCAAACCTCTCCTCAAAATGGTGGAGATGCCAGTTGTAAGGAAAGACACCAGACTCTGTATTGGCCATACGCTACAGAGAGATGTCTCTCTGATAGATGTCTGGCCCATGATGTCAATTCTGCTGTGAGATTAGCAACCTTCAGTAAATGTAGAGAGCAAAGAGATGGAGCGAGGAGCCTCTTTACAGTGCTGCAGCAAAATTCTCTGGAGTTCATCTGTCAACCCCCAAATTTCTGTGGATGTCTACCCTGAAATTCCAGGAAGCAGCTGTAGCTCACACAGATGTAAATCAGCTGTCTCAGGTGAAGTATTGCTCCTAGCAGTGGCAGAACAGGGCTCAGTACAGACTGCAGGGCGCTCTAAAATCCAGTTAACTACCTAGCCCTTGGAACTGGCACCAGCAGAGTGATCTCTTCGGAAAAACAAAGATACTATTTCTAGCTGCAGGTCACCATTAGACTAGGAAACTGCTTTGGAGATCTCAGTGACAAGGGGAGCAAACAAAACGCTTTTAAAGCTTTCTGATGCTAAAGCAAGCCTATTACATATATGGCTAATCTTGTATACTACTCAATATCAATAGTAGATAACGGTTAACTACAAAAACCTCTCAAAACCCCTTCCAGAGTAATTAATACTGTGAGTAAAAGCACCTCATTTTTCCAGGTACTAATGGAAACTGTTGAAGAGTAAGTTGCTGTTCAGTCTAAACGATGCGGTGTAGGGGTGTGTTGTCACCTCTTAACAACTTGGGAGAACAACTGGTCCTACTTTATAAGAAGACTATGCGCTGGAGTAAGGAATCAGCCCAGAAGCTTGAGTTCCGACTTGCAAAATTCAATGCATTTCTAATCCAGGATGGAGAGTATCCTCTAGGAAGGCAGAGAGGTGGTGCTGAGTGACCCAAAGAGAAAGGGGCTATTCTGTTTTCAGCTTAGAAGTAATAACTAATCAAGTGGTTTTATGTCAGAGAAGCTCTGTACTCGGTATCCTGCTGGCAGGAAGCGAGAGCCCTCAACACCTGAATTAGAATTCCACATTTATAGGAAAAAACAACAGAGTCCTGGAATTATGGCGAAGGTTGAAAAGGAACAGAGAAGTTTAGCAGATAGAGATATAAACCTGATCTTGATACCAGAAGCTGCAGATGACTAGATATTTGCATCAGAAATTAGGTCCACCGAAGAAGATAGCCATTCTACTACATTTACTGTCCCTAATAGAGCATGAACAGTTCTGAAAAACAGCCTTTAGTACACCAGCAGTTGTTTAAATTAGATGGCTCACTAGGCAAAAATCGCAAGCAAAGCTGAGGAGGAGAAGAGCAAGGGCTCACACTAGAGCACTGCACCTATCAACAGGTTATGAACAGCTGGCTCAAGTCTTTGGGGTGAGAACTGCCTGCACTTGAGTGTAGGCATTGACGTCTTGGACAAGTGCCACAGAAACTCAATATTATGTCAAAAGAGTTGATGTGATCCTGAGTTATGTCAAGAGGAGGAGGGGTTGTTTTTAGCTCTCTCTACAGCATTTTTGAGTGCAGTATTGGAATAGCATCCAATCCCAGCGACTGTATATAGAAATCAACTTTGAAAAAACAGAAGAGTGAATATAGAAAAGGGCTTGGAGGTTATTAAGGGACTGTAAAAATGTCTTACACTTAGCCTTATGATTTGTTCTCTTTCATTTATTAGCTAGAATCCGGAGAGAGGACTTGATGACCTTTAGAGGAAGAAAACATGAGATATAAGCAGGTTCTTCAATGGAGCCAAAAGAGGAATTATATGAACAAATCCCTTGAAGTTAAAGCCAATAAATGAGAATTAGAAACCAGGTGTAAATTTCACAGTGGCAATCATTAAGCACTAGAAGAAATTATTCTCCTTGTAATATTCTCAGATCAAAACCAGATGTGTTTCTGGAGGAAGCACTTTAATGGTATGGGGGTATATTAGTAAAATGTAATAGCCTGTAATACAAAGCCAGACAAGGATCTGATAGTTCCTCTGTCCTTAAAAACCTGTGACTGTCAGAATGAGGAGTTATTGCTTAAATAAACAAGACAGCCTAGTGTGAGCAGAAGAGTCATATGACGGGACAGTTGGGAGGACTGTGTCTGAAGTGCGTGTGCACTCTAGCGAGACACAATTACCAAATGAGATCTAAGGCTGCTGTCAGCTAGCACAGGTCGGAACAGTGTCAGGACATACCTAACAAATATAAAAGATGTTGGCCCAGAACACCTACAAATTAACTTGGGCGTAATGCAAAATCACAGAAAACAGGCCTGGAACCAGCTGTGAAACAGATTCCGCAGTCTATCTCTGCAGTCCCATGTCAGGATGAATTATATGTAAATTCACCTTAAGAAACAAGACAACTATCTGTTCTTAAAGTCTCTAAAATCAGAGGGATTTCACAATCTCTCCAGGCAATCTTCTTTAGCTATCCCCCTAGTTATCCTTGCCATATTATCTATCACTTATTCTACAGAATAGGCGACCCCATTTGCCACAGTCTTCCTGCAGATCACGTTTTCTAGATCTATGATCACTGCTGTTGGCCTGCTTTTTCCGCAGTTTGCCTATACCTTTCCTGAGATGTGAAAACTTGAGAAAATAATCCAGAGAGTTTTTACCATTGCTAAATAAAATGGAAGAGCTAATGCCATACTATACTAGATTGTATAAATGAGCATGCTCAGTATGACTGTTTCTAATAGTCTGGCTTCAAAGATCCTTGTAAAGTTGATGATACTTTATAACCCCAAACTTTTATTGCAGAGCTGCCAGTAATTCTCCATTTGTATTCATGCTGCTAGGTATCCCTAGACACGTAAAGTACTTGTTCTTATTGACTTAGATCTATATATTCAGGACATTTCTTGAATTTGTCAGAAATATTTTGAATTCTGATCCTTTCCCCTAAAATTCCCAGAACCACTCCCAAACTGGAAATGTTTGTACAATCAGCAGACCATTTCACCATTCAAATTACTACAGTTGTAGAGATGCATTTGATAAGTTTGATACAGAAGCAGTACAGACAGTACAGAAAGCAGAGTATGGAAGGGACAGGAACAACAGAAGTTACAGAAGGAAACAGTATGAAGCCTAATTTATGCACATGAGCAACTTCACACATCCAATACATGACACCCCCCTCTTTTTAAACATCATCCTTTCCCAAAATTCACTTTTTCCATGAAGTCTAAAAAAAAAAAAATTCAACTCTTTGAGAATGATTCATTCTTTTAGTTATAAATTTGCAGTAAATGACAACTTTCTTTAACAAACTGCAACAACCTATTGCATTCATGCTTGTTAGATCCCAAGAGACATTAATTTCACACATACCGTAAAGGGAAGCAGACACTCCTGCTGGTTCTGCACCACATAGAGACTCAGTAGGGGAACACGGCAGGGACCTGCCAAACTGCATGCCAAACACAGCGTGTTTTCCAGAGCTTCAGCGAGTACCGAACAGGTGTTGGTCCACAAAGGTGATGTGACATCCACGATGAGAATCCGTGATGGCTGCTGGGAACGTGCTTTAGTACCAGGAAACCCTCTCCGTGTCTCTGAGGTTACTTTTCTGGAATTCATGGCTTCTGAACAGGGATAGCAGATGTCCAGCTATCCATCTGCATCTGAACAGGAAAAATTCCTACAAATAACAGTAATGATATCAAGAAAGGCCAGAATGATGCAGCAAGAAAATACAGCATACACATAAATGTTACAAGAATAGACCTTCATCCTTCAGAGTATCTGGCACTCAGGGTTAGCCCTCCACTCAGTGACAAAAATCTCAGTCAGTGTTACATTAAGGTTACCCAGCAGTATCTCATGCTACTCCAGAACATGGAGTGCAGCAAGCCTTAAAAAACGGGCAACGTTAGAAACTCCGAGACAAAGTATGTTCCAGCCAAACACCACCTTTGATTCCCAGAGCTGGCAGGAGATGCTAGGAATGCTATGTACCGAGGTAGCTGTGCTTAATGTGTGTAGCAGAGCTGTGCCAACCGGTGCAGAGATTTGTGAGAACAGCTTGGTGGTGCTGTGAGCGTTGCAGGCACAGCTTGCGCAAGGAGGCAGAGAAAAGATTAGGGCGCCTCAGTTCCTGGAGCTTGCCTGTGTGGGAACAGAAAAGGTGCTGCAGCGCCCTGGCAGACCATGGGTCCCCGGGTAGAGAAAAATCAGAGGAGAAAGCGTGCAGCTAGTCTCTCCCCACCACTGACTGTACGTTTCCTTTCAAATAGCCTTTCATCCAATAATACCACTACATACCCTTGCATGCATAGGGCTCAGCTGGTGGTGTTTGGGGAGAACTTCCCCACAATCTGTAAGAAAATTTGAGCATTTCTGTGGAATAATAAGCACAGAAGGAGTGAGAAGCAGATGGGAGGAGTGTGTTTTCAGAGAGGTCCTGTGTCGTTCCCACGCCTCCCGGTGAAGGAACCAGAGGAAACCGCTCACCTCCGAGCCCAGAGTAAACACTTCTCGGCTTGGCTCAAAGGTCGCATATACTCATCCACAGACCTTGAATGTGACTTTTGTTTTTTCCCCATCCCCCCCATTTCCCCTCAACACATATATCTTAAGCACAAGAGCCAGTATTTTCCTGTTAAAAAAAATCTTTTCCTTCCTCCGTCATGAACAAAAACGCTGTCTAAAAATCTTCTCTTCCTTCACTAAACCTAAACAGATCTGCGCAAAGTGCTCAGTGCTCCTTCTAAGGATATAAAAAACACCTTAAAAATATGTTTTACTAATACCAGCAGTATGTAACCATATGGATTTGCTTGTGCCCAGAAAAGTGGTTGTATAATTGCACATATCTCTGCAATATGAACTAGAACAACATCTTTCCTCTTACAGCTGTGTAAATCCCCGGCAGGGTCAGTAAAAGTATGAACTGACCCCGGATTTACACGGCTCTGCTCTGGACAGAACCCAGATCTGTACGGCTTCCTACATACAGCTCTTAATTTTGTCAGACGTTCAGCTGAGTCATGTAACTTTTTTCTGTTCCCTAAGGAGAAACGCGAGTATATTTCCTACAAGCCCCAGCGCTTTAGAGGAAGAATTTCTGTAAGTCTTGAAAAGAGAAATGCATTTCCATCTAACTGAGGCATCACCCCAAAAAGATCTGTATTTCACTGGCAGGATGCTTGTCAGTGATGGCAAAACAGAACGATCACAGGTTGAATTTCAAATCTGAGGCTAACATTTCAGAACTGGTGAAAAACTTCTATATATATCACGTATATATGTATATGTATCTTGCTTTGACTAGTAACCTGAGATAATTTCAGCGGAAAATGAGAAACCGCCGGTTACCACTTTAGTCAGCGTCTCTTCTGGCGCTGTACAGTTTACAGCAGCATTTACTAAATGACTTCACTGAATCTGGAAAAATATTTGCCTGACACTGTTATTTGTGATGAGGCTCCTTAAACCTCCCCCTCCGCAAGCCCCCAATGCGTTCTCAAACTAGTAGGCAAAGTCTCACAGCAGAAAGCTTAAAAAGTTGGCCTTTTGGTTTGCATTGGTTTCAGAGAGAAAACTGAGCCTTGATACTGAAACAGCTTTCCTGAATGTGAATGAACTCTCGCATTCCTGATACCTAGCAGGATTCTGCTTATTTTAGGTGGCTTTAGTAAAATGGATCTTTCATCAGCTGTGTTCTTTATCAGCTGAAGGAATGTCATTCCCTCTTAATTGTGGTGTCTTAATTAATTTCGGCTTAGCAATATTCATATGGCTTATATGCAGTTTACTGCACAGTATTTGACATACAGCATAAACTGCCCACCTCTTTCTTACCGTCTACACCAACTACCCCGAGCTGTGATGATGCTGGCTAATTGAATAATTCTCTTTATGAATCTAACTGGTTGCTAGGGCAAAATCACTTCTTTATTTAAGCAGCAAGTGACCTGATAGAGAGGCTAGCCTAAGGGATTACACCATAATTCAGTGTGCACGAGTGAAAAACGTTAGCTCTAGCAGTCGAGGAGACATTAACTTATTGCTCAACAAAACAGAACTTACGAACTGCCAGAGCTAGTTGCTAACAGTAATGCAGATGTTGCTCGATGCAAGAAGACAGACATTTTTCAGAACTACAAAGACAAGGACAGAAAGAAAATCCTGCCATATTGGGTGGGTTATGATCGCTGATGACATTCAGCAGCTGCATATTATCATATCCACTTAATTGGTTGCAGTAATGCAAAACCATTAAATAATATCCAAGTCTAAAAAGCGTAACTGAGAGGGAACACCCAAATCGTTGGTTAAAAATAGACTAAGGATAGTTTTCATCTCCTTTCTAATACACAAACCAGCAAAACTTGGATCCATTTTCACTCTTAAGTGGGAAGAAACAAGCACAAAAATCTAAATAATGAGTTTAAGTCAAAAATTATTACGATAAATACATATTACATGTACATTATATATATAATATTATCACTACTATATTGTATATTGCTATATTCTACATATAATATAGAATATATGATGTGTGTGTGTGTGTGTGTGTATCTTTAAATATGCATATTTACAGAGAAAGAGAGGCCCTACAGCCCTACGCTATGAAAGACAACTACTATGACAGTGGTCTGTTTACTGAGAAGAAGGGAGCAAAACAAAAAACAAATCTTAAGATGCTATAGTAAGGAATACAAACCATTGGCAAGGAAATGCATGCAAAATGGTGAACAGTAATGTTCACCAGATTTAAGGACAATGAAAACTTATTCTTTAAATTATTAAGGAGTAGAAGGTTCTTGTCAAACACATCAGGAACAAAAGAAATTCTGGAAATAGAATAAATCTGCTATTAATTTATAAGGGTTTTTTAAATGATGTAGAAAAAGTGTTCAATCAATACTCTGATCTGCACTTAGAAAAAAAGCAGTGATAACTAATTACTCTCTTTTCCATCAGTGGTTAGAGAGGATATTAAACAGCAGCTGCTAGAACCACAGGTTTTACATTTCAGAAAAGGGAAGTTTGTACCCAAGAGTTCTTTGAACCGTTTCTGTTAACCTTTAACTTATCTTGCAATTGTGGAAATTCCAGAGTAACTGTAATGTTCATGTTTAAACAAAGAGCACACAAATAACAATAGCCCATTTGTCATAATGTACATACCAGGCAAAATCATAGAAATACTGATACAGTGCACACTCAGTAACAAATTAAAAAACGGTTGTGCCATCATGGGAAACAGCCCTCACTAATGAATAGATTTTTATAGGCTTAGGTGGTAAAGACGGGAGCATCAGCAGAGTATAATTTTATTTCTATGTGACATTTAATTTAAACAGATTTGCTTCTAGTCACCATAGCACTATAAAAAACAGTGTAACTCCCCACTGAACAGGAGCTAGTTCATGGAGAAATTGCAGATAATATCTATAAATGAGAATTATTCAGTGGAAATGCTTCTACTGGGGCTCTATAACAATCTGTTTTTTGCCTAATTAGATGGAAGACGGAACATACCTAAAATTTGACTTATAAATCCTATAGAAGAATCAAAAACTGAGCTGCAAGTAGGTGGAGATGGGGAGCGTCACTACCAGCACCGCTGCAGTCTCACCCTCTTCTTGCACTTTTCCCAACGCGTTTGCTCCAGGCTGAACACCCCCAGCTCTTTCGGCCTCTCCTAGTATGAGATGCTCTAGTCCCTTAATCACCTTAGTGGCCCTTCACTGGACGCGCTCCAGCAAATCCATGTTGCCCTTGCTCTGGGGAGCCCGGAGCTGGACACAGCACTCCAGAAGCAGTACTTCCCAAACCGCTGTGGCCTCCTTCCTCTGTCAGCTTCCCCATGAAGCACTAATACAGAGAACATAGCAGGAGCTAATGTTGCTTCACACAGCAAAACTCATGACTAGCTTTACAAAGGAAATCCGCGGTTTGGCAGGGGACAATGCCGTGGAGAGCAGCCAGCCCCCTGCTCCAATTTCCCCCACTTCAAACCCCTTTCCTCTACCAAACAGAAACTGGTGCAATGAAGAGACAAAGCACAAAGGGGCAACTATCAGCTCCTGGACAGAACAACATAGCAGGGGGCTGCTCTGCCTTACTCTTCCCTCCTTCTGCCGCCAAAGCACTTACTGCTCTTTTGAAGGTTGCACATTGCACTGATGGCCTGCTGCAATTTATCTCAAGCAGTATGATTTCATGTCATGCTAGAAGCAGTCTTATGATGGGCCGGGAAAGGCACCCATATCACGCTGTGTTAGGAATACAGGACTGGTCAATGAAAGTTTCCTTAATATTACAGTTATCCTGTCTCGCAGTTTCCTTTTTAACTGGTCAAGATTGACTTTTAAAATAGAGCTTCCTGTCCCACTGCTTCTGTTGGAAGACTGTTCCTAAATCTCAGTGCTCTAAGGACGAGAAACCTTCAAGCAATTCCCATCCTAAACGGGGATCTGGCCATTTTATGCCATTACTCTTGCCAGCATTATCCTTTTCCTTCTGCAACTCTTCTGCTGCCTCATTAGTTGTACCTTTCACAGGCTCAGCTTTGCCTGGCCTCCTCTTTCAAGAGGCAAGGCTCTTCTAGCTGCAGCTCCTAAAATAGGCTCTGCATTTCCCCGATAATCCCACTAACCCTTCTCTGCAGCTGTTCTAGTTTGCATATTTCTTTACATATTTCATTTCTGCACATATTTGATTCAAATTATACAAAACATTCCTGATGGCATCTCACAAACAAACTTATAACGGTTCTGACACGGCCCTTGCATAGCGCTGTCATAAACAACAGTCGGGAATATGGAAAATGTAGTCTACATCAGATGATACGGCGAGGCTCATAATTTAGTGTGTATATTTTTCAGTTTTGGTATACCTAAGGTATAGTTTAGGATTTTTCTCCTCTGGAAGTTGTCTTTGAGAAAATTTAT